ATATATGCACAGGCGCACATGTGATGGGCACATCTAAATGCCGATGTGTACAGAAATACACACATAGACATACATGTGTTTGTGTCTGTGTGTCTACATATATACATGTATGTATATATATATATATATATGTATGTGTATGTATCTATAGATCCGGTCGTGCATGTGCAACCTGTGCGTGAGAAAGACAGAGACAGAGAGAGAGAGAGAGAGAGAGAGAGAGAGAGAGTTAGTTATACACAACTGTGAAAGAACAGCAGATGCAAGAAACTTTGGCCTCCAGCTATCCCCTCTGGACCTATCTCTGCCTGGAACTGCTGATCATGGGAATTAAGTAATTGTGAGACGTCAGACAGATCGCCTCTGGAACTGGATGTGCAGGTGGTGAGATGGCGGAACTCACTTGGCAGCTGCTCGCAGGGCTTTCTGCTTGGCCATGTGGTCCCGGTATGCCTGCCGGCCTGGCAATCGCAGACCCGTGTAATTTGGGTTCAGGCATTGGGCACAGCCGTTTGGGTTGCCACGGCACTTGGGGCACCCGTACACGGGCATGGGCGACTTTGTTTTGGTAGCAGGGCTCTTGGCCGTTGCCTTCGGGGTCGCCTTCGTCTTGGCAGTGGCCTTGGCCTTAGGCTGGGCCTTGGCCTTGGCTTTAGCCTTGGCCTTAGCTTTGGCCTTTGCCTTGGCCTTAGCTCCGGCCTTTGCCTTGGGCTTGGCTTTGGAGTCATCCTGCTTCTTCTGCTTGAGTGCCTGGAAAGCCTGGTCCTCGAAATCCTGCAAAGTCTTTGGCTGGGTACTTGCAGGCTGCTTTGAGGAGGTTTGGGCCGTGGCAGACTGCAGGGGTGCTTGGGTGCCTTCTTGCTCCATGGAGACCACGGAAGTCTGCACTGGTGCCTGGGTGGGCTGGCCCGATTCCATGGTCGAGGCTGCTGCCTGCAGCGGTGGCGCTGGCAGTGCTGGCAGCTGCTGTGCCTGCAAAGCTGGTTGCTGCAGTGGCTGCTGGTGCTGTGGCTCAGGCTGCCGCTGCAGTCGCTGCTGCAGTGCCTCCTGTTGCTGCAGGGGCTGCTGCTGCTGCTG